CACTTCTAACAACTGTTTGCTAAGTTAAGGCTTTAGTGTTTACACAGTGTTGAATGAAGCAGCCTGGTCACCAGATGTGATTGCTTCCCCAGACTGTCGTTTTCTCAGTCAGATCACAGTCCTAATGGTCCCCGCTCCAACTTTCTTCCTCAAGACGTCCACCAGCCTTTCCAACCTAAGTTAGGGGTACGATGGTAAGGGAGGGAAAAAAGAAAAAAGTATGATTATTGTTAGCAATGCTTGGGCTGAAGAAGAACAGTATTTGTCTGTGACCAAACAGTCCTGGAAGTCATAATAAGAAACAAAGCATTACTGCAAGAGCGAAAAACTGGTACAGAGTGCCAAGTACTTGAGGTTAAAACAACAACAACAAAAAAACCCTTTAACCCAGATCCTTGGATTATGTCAGCCTTGGATGCCACAGGAAGATACTCATTTCAGTACATTTTAACTACTTGCATTAAAGTTGTGAATAGATCATTTACTATGCAATGTCAGGATAGCATATTAAATGTAGAGCAGTTTCAAATTGATTTTTACCGAAAAGAAGCACATAATTCAACACAAAAATACTAGCAATCTTATACCTGTTACTGTTACTTAAAACGTGTTACCTGTAACATACTGGTTGGTATATTGTACAACTCCTATGCATTAAATGTCTTTTCTACAAAGTTAGCTGAATAAAATAAAGCAAGGAATTAGGTGCTAGCTGTGAAAAATTCAATGTCCAAGTAGCATGCAAATAATTTAAATATATACAAATGACTTGACACCAATAAAGCCAGACTTTCTGCACTACATTTAAAAAGAAGCTTCTATTCCTGAGTATTGTAAATAGGCTAGGAATTACCTAAATTCTTCAGGCTTTGTGATTTTTACAGTTGATTAAAACTCCATCAGTTAAAGTGAAAATAGAGTCAAACGTTCAGAAGCCCATTCTCAGTGTTCATTGTTCTTAGGTTTCTCCACGGGAGGAAGATCACATTCATGTGAATTAGAGTTTTGCTTGTCAAACAATGATGGGATGAGACCATTAATTTTTTTTTACAAGTATAAAACCTCAACCAAAAATCCTGCTTAATTCACACACTAATTTTCCTTGTAAATGAAAATTATACCCAAGTAGTTTTCATGTACACAGTTTTCCCTCCTCAAAGACTGTTCAGCAACATCATCTAGCCTGCTCCACAGTTTGCTTTATTTATATGGACCCATGAATGAGGGTCCTTTGCAAATAAACACAGCACAGAGCAAGATACTGAAGGAATGAGAGTATTCTTAGTGCCATACACAATAGACAGTTGGAAGTTTTAATCAACTGCATACAACCCTGAAAATTAACTCAAGTTTGTTGGATGATTCTGCATGTGTCAAAAGTTCTGTTAACAGAAAGAAGGACACGAAGCAAAGTAGTTCAGTGCATCAAAATCCTTGCTTTAAGAAACGTGGTAATGATCTTAGAGTAAAAAGATGAATCTTGCTTATTAAGGTTATTACGATAAATTTCTCAACTGTAAATTATGCATAAATGTTATATATCTACTAAAAACAGCATCAGATTAGTGGTACAAATACCTGAAATAACTAGAAGATTCACTGTATTCAGAGGTTAGTCTGTATTAGTTGGAGTTTCCCTAGTGATAAACCTAGGGCTATTTTACACACTCTGAATATTATGATTCAAAGGACTACATAAATCCTTTAAAGCAAAATGTCTAATTCAAATGAGAGAGGCGAGTATGAATTTGAAAACTACAGTCTAAACTACGGAACATTCTTTTTTTAAAATTTGTTTTATTTTTTATTTTTATTGTACTTTAGATGAAGGTTTACAGAACAAATAGTTTCTCATTAAAGAGTACACATATTGTTTTATCACAATGGTTAACAACCCCACAACATGTCAAACACTGTCCCTTCTCAACCTTGGGTTCCCTATTAACAGCTTTCCTGTCCCCTCCTGCTTTGTACTCCTTGTCCCTGGACTGTTGTGCCCCATTAGTCTCGTTTTCTTTTATGGGGCTGTCTAATCTTTGGCTGAAATCTAGAGTGACTTCATTACTGAGCTAAAAGGGTGTCCGGGGGCCATACTTTCAGAGTTTCTCCAGTCTCTGTTAGGCCAGTAAGTCTGGTCTTTTTTTGTGAGTTAGAATTTTGTTCTACATTTTTCTCCAGCTCTGTCTGGGTCCCTCTGTTCTGATTCCTCAAAGCAGTCAGTGGTGGTAGCCGGGCACCATCTAGTTGTACTGGACTCAGTCTGGTGGAGGCTGTGGTAGTTACGGTCCATTAGTCCTATGGACTAATCTTTCCCTTGTATCTTGTTTTCTTCATTCTCCTTTGCTCCCGAAGGGGTGAGACCAGTGGAGTATCTTAGATGGCTACTCACAGGCTTTTAAGACCCCAGATGCTACTCACCAGGTAGAATGTAGAACATTTTCTTTACAAACTGTGTTACGCCAGTTGAGCTAGACGTTCCCCGAGATCATGGTTCCCACAGCCCTCTGCCCAGAAATTCAGTCCCTCAGGGAGTTTGGATGTGTCTATAGAGCTTCCATGACCTTCCTTGTACAAGCTGTGCTGTTTTCCCCAGTATTGCGTACTGTCTTACCCTTCACCAAAGTTACCATTTATCTATTGTCTATTTAGTATTTCCCATCCCCACCCATCCCATCCTTTGGAACCAACGAAGATTGTTTCTTTTTGTGTGTAACCTTTTTGTGTAAACTATGGAATATTCTTAAGTGAACTGTAGTTCACAGTTAAAATCTGAGAGTAACTTCAAATAACTGTTAAGAAATAGCTCCCAGTAGAAGTCCTCTGCATATATTGTGTTAAAAGCCAGAAATTATTGCTATCAAGTTGGTTAAATATATTACTTTCCCACAATATTATTTACACTATTAACTATTAAAAAAAAAAAAAAAAACTCCCTCATATGTAAAAGTAAGCTTGACCCTGCATGGTTATTATTACAAATTCCGAATCAATGAATCCCAAATTATTGAGATAGATAGAACTGTATTGTGCTACTTTTGGCTTCTCCTTTACAGACAGGCTCACCTTACTTTTGTTTCCTTTTCATACATTAGGGCATCTTTCCATTTAGAATTCTTACGTCTTGCTTAGGTAAGAGGTTAGGAGGAAATTCTTAAATATCATGTTTCGCAATGTCTCTACTATATTTCAACAATTACTAGATCAACCACATTCTCAGTTTATCCAGATTGAATGATTTATGAAAATATGATCTCAGAAATGAGAAAAATGTCAATTACTTAGTTTTGCAAAAGCTTACTGACTTCAGAAACACAATGAAGCACCTATTCCTTCCTGTAAGGAATGGAACACACCTGCCAAACATGGGATGTGCCAACAGGAAGGTAGGCGTGTGTGTCTGTTAAAGTACCTTACAGGATTTGCCTGCAGGCTATTCTTTACTGTCCAAATCAATAACATCCTCTAGCTCCCCCAAATAGGCTCCAGTTATTTTACATATTACTCAGTGATATCTTCCCAAGGCATCATGAAATAAGGGCTAGGGCTAGAACAGGGATTCTCCATTTTAAATATAATGAAACTGAAGCACAGAGAAGTAAACCCTTGTACAAGGTTCTCAGGTAAGATAGTGAGAAATCTAGGCCTGGCTTCCTCATTTTCACTTTATAGCCATTTCCATTAGGATTTGGGTTACCAGAGGTTTAGAGATTTCAGATTATACCTTAATGGATTATTTGTGTTAATAGCTTTATTAAATTTTTATCCTCAAATTCTTACATAAATTAAATTGGCAAAGTATTTGCTGGTGTACTTCATCTACTATTTCAGTTATAACATAATTAGAAAGTAAATTCATGACATTACACACAATTGGAAACCCTGGTGGCATAGTGATTAAGTGCTACAGCTGCTAACCAAAAGGTCGGCAGTTTGAATCCACCAGGCACTCCTTAGAAACTCTATGGGGCAGTTCTACTCTGTCCTATAGGGTCACTATGAATTGGAATTAACTCCACAGCAAAGGGTTTTTTTTTTTAATACACAATTAAGAAATGGTAGTTATTTATAAACTATCATTTGCTACAATACAATTCTATATAAATTAAAACATATTTACAGTTATATTTTAGAGTTTTCTAACCTATTTTTCAATTAACTGTATATATTTTCTGTGTAAATATGTAATTACGTAACATGCACATATTATAATGGAACGTATATCAAGTAGATGAACCATAAATTATTTATCGATTTTCCTATTTGGTTTATTTCCATTTTTCCTCTTAAAGAAAATTATGGCAGATTTTGAAAAGTAACATTTAATGAGTATTTACTATGTGCCAGGAACTATGAGAAGTAATTTACCCACATATTTAATTTTATTATACCTCTGTGAAGGAGATATTATCATCAGAAAACAAAACTAAAATATAGAGAGGGTAATTTGATCAAAGCCATACAACTAGTGAGTTTTGGAGTTGGGATATAATCCTTGCTCTAACTACTAAGTTTCTGACCTTTGCAACATACTATACTGCTTCCAAAAGTACTGTGACTTTTAAGGCTTATTTCTAAAATTTTGTGGGACTGAATTACTCTTGTTGCTTAGATGATTTTAAAAGGGATTCCCTAATAGAAGGCAGTGAAAAAGAACAGATTGCTTATCATCAAATGAACTGTACCAAAGTAAAACTCACTGTAGATTCCTTTTTTTAAAACAATTTTTGTATCTGTCAATTTGAGATTAGGATAACTCTTACTGACTAGACAATTTTCTCTGCAGAAAAAGCATTTCTACATCCTTCATTTAGGCAGTGAAGTCACCCCATCAAACATGTGTTGTCCCCCGCTCCCCCATGGAGAAAGAACTAGGGAAATCTAAGAGAGACAGGTAACAATCATTCCCCCAACAGAGGTAATGAGAAAAACGGTGAACAGGAAAGTACCCCTTAGACATAACTCTACAACATCATAATGTATATAACTATTTAATTGGCTATTACTTCTTTAAACTGTACAATCATTTCTTGGTCTTGTCCACAAAGGTATTTTGAGACTGTTTGTCAAATGATTGCTGAAATAAAGATATATTAGATTTCTGTTATTCTTCCTTTTCTACCAGTTATGGAGGTTAACTTCTGTTAACCTCTAAGACCCAATATATATTAACCAGGT